TAACATCTCATAAAAAATTCCGACATATCTACAAATTCAAAAGCTATAAGTCGGCAGAAGTTTGCATTGTTATCTGAAAAGATATTACGTATGAAACTATTCTTACAAGTCTCATAGTATTGCTTTCTCATTTAAATATATTTCCGTACTTATATGTAATTTGTCTGTTCATTCATCTGACGAGCTTTTTTGAAAGTTGTCAAAACTATAATATTCGAATAAAGGCTTGAACTGTATTTGTTTAACAAACCTGCACTCATGAAGTGTAAGTGAATTAAGTAAATAGAGTCTTTAAAATATTAGCATGTAGATGATATCATGTTATGTCTTGTGACGTATTTAAATGTTTTTATAATCGTGAATATCAGTATCCTTCACTTTACAAAAATCACAAATTGTGGTATTTGTACCAACTGATGATTATTCTGTACTTGACTGCGCGCTTACAACGAATTCCAAATATAACACGTACATTTGTACTCAACTTGTTTTATCTACTTTGAATCTCTCTATTTCGGGAATTCTTAGTTGGAAAATCAGTTTGATTACTTCTACTTTGTATACATACACAATTGTCAACCTTCGTATGGAAAAACGTTGTTCCCGTATCGTCTGACTCATTGTTCAGGAATATGACCTTCAGTGTCATCAGTTTTCGGACTTCGCAAGTAAGTAAAACAGTTCCAAACGAAGTGAGTGAACAGTTACCTTAAATTAATAATCATGACTTAAACCTGAAAAAAATGTTTCAGGACGTATTCGAAATTCAAACCAATTTTTTATTAAGAAGTGTCTCCAGTAGTAAGGACATAATGTCAATGGGCTTAAATTCAACTGTGCAACTTGTAATACTGTAGGAATCCAATCTGTTTATTGATAGGTGTCGACATTAATTATACTAATAAAGAATCCCAGTAATTCGTTACTCCAAACGGGAACTGGATCTTTCGATGCGGACTATTAGATCTCATTTTGTGAACATACTTAGAATGTCCTCTCATATGATCCGTTCTGAATGGAAAGGAAAGATAAGGTGTTTGTATGTACTAGTGATTGACTTGAAGTTGATGACTGCCTGATTTGTAATTTCAAATATAATACACTTGTTCGTGTTCATCTAGTTCCTCTTAGTTAAACTGCGGTTTTTCTGAAATTCTTAGTTTGTATAATAATTCAAATACTTCAAATCATCATATTGGCGTCGAATGGAGCCTGTGATAGAATGATTGGACATACATTCAGATTTCCATGCTTTTGAGAATTATATGGAAAGGTTCGAATTCTGTACTATGACCAAGTAAGATGTTGAGGATGTTAATATTGTGGCTCATTTTCTAACATAAGCATACAGCTAATTAAAAACTGTGGCACATCCAGAAAAGCCTATTTTACTTTCTTATGCAGCTCTCAAAGAACTACTACTAGACCATGTAAGGTGTACAAACTTTGAATGCTGCAAAAGAGGAAAACTTTATAAAATGATTCGTCAGAACATCAAAAATTCCATTAAATTACTACGCCATCCCAATCCAATGAGCACTCAAGGTTATGCAGATAACAATTCATTGAGGAGTAGCGAAGTAGGTCAAGAAGATAAGCACAAGTTTCGCAAATGTTTGTCATGTGGCAAACTTTACTTATATAATTCATGTGTATTTCGTCACGATAAATGCTTTATAGGTGATAAAATTGTACACTAACAGGCAGTCTGCAAAACTACTAAATATTTCGCCGCAACTAATGATAAACTCTATAACTCCGATCCTATTAAGTTGAATGTTCCAAATGAATCATACTCTGATCAGGTTTATGATATCATTTTACCAGATAAAAGTTGTTCTCATGATTCATGTTTTTACAGTGAAGTTTCAGGAGTGATCACTGTTTAGTGTTGTTATATATCTTTTATTCATGTTGAATATATTGTTCTATCTCTGACCTAAATGTGTTCCTTATCATATATTGATGATTGTTACGATGCGATGAGTTTGTGTAGATAATAATGTGGCCTCCACGTAAGATTTTATAGATTAGGCAGTTACATCATGACAAATCTAAAATTTTGGGATTAAGTCTATTTATGGAGAGATACTAATAACGAAGTAGACCATAATTCCACACGTCTCAAATATTTGAAGGTATTTATTTCCATTACCATCAGAAAGCGAAACCCTCACCCATGATCTGGACACCGTCTTTCATCGGATCGATTAATACGACATTATTGTAAACATTCATTAATGCTTAACTCAAACAGATTTTCTAACTTTTCTCGGTAACACCATTGTCATTCAGGGCTTGGCTATCCGAAGAGCAATGTGGTTCCTATCCTGAAATACCCGGTACATTGTTGCATGTTTACCGCTCTAGAGCCATTACGAATTAAGCATCCACCCACTACTCAATTGTGCTCAATGTAATACTACGTGATGTACATTTATGAAACTTTATTTTCCGAGTGAAGACGAAAATTTGCTAACGATAGGTAAATTTGTTAACTACCTTCCTCTCTGATTGGCCAACGAGGATAAAGGAGTCTGTGTTAACCAAGAGAACTTACGATATTTGATCTTCGCTTGTGGTCATTTGCGTTATGATCTAAATATGTCATTGGTCTGTTCGGCATAAACGAACTAATTTGCGTGATCTATATTTCAGTGATAACATTAAGTGAATACATGAAAAGCATGATTTCGCAACACGTATTTCAAATTGTCTTACCGTTGTCGCTTAACTATCTTGTTAGTAATCTAGAAACAATGGGCACTCCATCATCGTCTTATTCTATGATATCACGGTTTCTGAAGAGGACACGATATATAGCTGTAAGGGAGAAGAGACACGTCTCATACAAGGAGTGATGGTAAAATATTACCGTTTAAGGTAACACTTTTTTATGTCGGAAGGAAATCAGGTCTCCTGATTACCAAGCCTTTCTTAATATTCACCTCTTGCAAAATGAAGATCAAAAACCTACTCTCCTAAAATGTGTGATAAATTTCTTGAAAAGAGTCTTAAATCGTGCAACAAAGGCAGTCATCAGATAAAAAGCAAATATAAAGAATAATGACTTAGCCATCTGGAATTATATGTGGAGGCATACAGAAGTTTAGGTAATGTACAGATCACAATGCTTGACAAACTGAGCGGTCATTCTCACTACAAAAGGGACATTTTGCGTGAATTTCATTGCTTGACTTCACAAAAAAACTCTGATGTGATAGCTGTGTTCCGATAAAATCATGTGCCTGGGAAAAGTTCAGTCATTCGTTTCTACTACATGGCAATTAACAAATATTCCTCGAAAATCAAGGTATGCTCAGAGAAAATGTGAAATGCAGTTGGCACAATCTGCACTCAAGTAGCCTAAGAGACTAATCTTGTACATAAATTATAGGACAAAGATGCATCATTGTATTTCCAACCTAACTGAATAAGAGAGAGAATCTGGAATGATAGAGGAAGATCAGGAAAAAGAAGAGGCAACGACCAACTATTTTGGGGCAGTTTTCACTAACAAACTTCCGGTCGAAGAACTAGACCCAAACACAAAGTCAACAAACTGCCTGTTCACTGTAGAATTTAACCGAGACGACGTACTTAAGGATCTTAGCACCTTAGACACGAAAACGTCAACAGGACCGGATGAACCACACCTTAGAATCCTGGAATGTTCCACTATATATCGCAACCCCGCTGACTGTGATATTCAATATGTCCCTTGACCAAGGTGTGTCATTTACGAACTGGAAGTGTGCAATCGTCACTCGCATACAGGAAACAAAACCAAGACAACTCCCATCGAACTACAGACCTATCGGCCTCACTAGTGTTGTAGTTAAAGAATTAGAAAGAATAGTCTAAAAGACCATAACGGCATTTGTGGAAACCAAAAACTTGTTAAACAGCGAACATCATGGTTTCAGAAAAGGTTTATCTTACACAACAAACCCTCTTTTAGCAAGGGAGCATTGGATAAAGGGCTCAAACAATAGAAACTCACTGGATGTTGTCTTCTTAGATTTCAGTAAGGCATTTAACAAGGTGCCTACGAATAGACTACTATTGAAGTTAGAAAATGTTAGTACTGCCCGACCTCTCTTAAAATGGCTTAAGGATTTTCCAGTAGGTCGTAAACAGAAAGTAAGAACAAATTCCATGTGCTCCACCTGGAGACCAGTACTTAGTAGAGTAACTCGAGGTTCTGTCCTAGGTCCTTTACTTTGTATATTGTGTGTAAATGATCTCCCAAGCTTAATGCAGTCCCTAATGTTATTGTGTGCGGACGATGTAAAAATCTGGCGAGTAATAACGGATGACGCAGATGCATGCGCAATTCAGGCGGACTTAAATAATGTGATTAACTGATCTAGAGAGTTTCTGTTGCTTATCAACGAGGCAAAGTACGTCTACGTGCACCTTGTGGATACAAAGGCTAATAGGTGCAGCATAAGGGAAGCGCCTGTGTCTGGCTTGAAAAACTAAACCTACTTATTCTGTCAGATCGCATGCTAAGAGAAGATTTGATTTTGACGTATAGAATATTAAGAAATGATTTTGAACCTAATATATTCTCCCCTTTCCCACTAGATCGTAACATGTCAGAGGGCATACCAGGAGAGTAGAAATGCTAAGAACGAACAAAATATCCGTGGCATATAGCTTTTCACACGGAGTCATCAATTCTCGGAACCTGCTGCCCGAGGCCGTGGTGACAGTAGCTTTAGTCCACTCATTCAGAAGAAGATTGGACACTCGTAGAAGCATACTGGAACAGGAATAACATGGGCCGCCGGCCTACTGTCCTTACTACACGAATCTGAATCTGAATTCATCAGTACTTAGGTTGTTTAACTAAAATATTACGTTTTTTGCTTGATATAACATCTTAAAATGTGGATTCACGTCACGACATGAGTGAAAATACGCTATCTACTTTACACTAACTTTCTACATTGATATTGTATATTGAGGCTTACTCCGCTTTTATTTCGATTCTTGCGTTGCGTGGTACGTTTGAAAAGATTCAATAATAACATAAGTTACACACTGAAATAGGACGACTTATGGTTTTAAATAACTGGTTGAATAATTGCTTAGATCCATAACCGCTTTTTGGCAGTGGCAGTTAGTTATAAACTAATTGAACTAAAAATTTGTGTGCGTTTCTTCACGGAATGTACTCCAACGGCAGTCCCTGCCAAGTGTTCGAGTTGCTCATTAGTTTTGGTTGTATTACGTTATTGTTCTATTTTATTACTTGCTTTTGTTCTTCAGAGTTCATTTTATGTATCCACAGTATGTATTTTATCCACGGGGTTTTATTATGGCTTTACTTACGCTGCCATCAGTATTCCTCCACTACACTTAGTACTTCCAGAGTAGAAGCAAATCGGATTTCGCACTTCATTTTGAAGGTAAAGTGCATCACCTCCAAGGCCATGATAACGTTCTTGAAACCATATGTCCCATTCAATCCACCGTACATACACTTCCAATGCTTTTAGAAGCGCTTTTGTATCATTTGGTAATTGAATTGAATTAAGTCAGTGTCTGATATGTATGGAGCTGATGGATTACATTTTATGGAATGTTCTTCGTTGTTCACATTCGTATGACAATAAGCCAGTAGTATTCTCTCCAACACCGAATATCATGTTCCATACGTTAAGTACAAGTCAATGATATCATCCTTTTTAGTAATCTTCGACATGACGGTCGTTCTCATTCATGGCTTCAAACACTTCTAACATCCATTAAATGTCCATTAATTTTTTATCCAATGATCCATCCTTGAGTGGCATCACTTGGGAAATGACTCCCTGGTATTTTCACTAGGGTCACTAAAAGTTTATGAAAGCGACGTATTAAGGTGCTTTTCTGTCTGGTAAAATAGCATTTGCAACTCTTAGTTTATCCATATTCTGATGTTTTTACAAAATGAAAACCAAAAATTAGTATATCAGAGCATTAAAACGGAAATGGTAACTTAATTCACTATTACTATAAGTCACTGTGCTTACCCTCTTCTGTATATTTGTAGTTGGTTCCCCAAAAAATTATTCTCTGTTCTCACAAGAGGTCTCACGGTTAAAGACATTGTTTTTGACTGCTACTTCCAAATAATCGTTTATTTGACTTCTCAAAGTCTAATTCCTTTATTTTGTTATCTCTCCTGGACTAGAATTTTTTTGACTAATCGATCAGGTTTACGGCAGACAGATTTTCGAGTGAAATCCATCCATCTATTTGGCTAAGTAACATCTTTTCATAATAGCTGATATCATTTGGAGCTTCTCAAGACCACTTCTGTATACCTCTAGAGTCGTCATTATATTGTAGCCATCATTTCATTCGTAAGTACGGAATGAGCGGAAAGCGACTGATAGTATCTTAGCAGAATAAGAAATATTACTGAGTCAAACTCTACATCCGTAGTTTGAATAGTTCAGACCCCAGTGACCCATGCCTCCGGGTTTTGGATTCTCTGCTAGCCTTTATCTTTAACCCTCACGGAAAAATCCAGACACTCTGTACACCGCGAATACACTGTAGCTACATACCCTGAATCATTAGTTGCATAATAAATTATTTCTTCTCGTGGAAGTAAGTCTTCCCTTCATCATGAGCAAACGTAGTTACTCTCTCGAGCTCATCGGGAGTTCCTTACTGGTTTACAATTCGGATTTTAAAATGTAATCAAATCCACGTTTTTAAGTCTGTTGTTGACTTGGAATCTCGACGCGATTGATATGTATCGGAAGAGTAATTTTCCCCCCCAACATTGTTTTATCTGCCAGGTTATTTTCATCCGGATGCCAATATTCTGTCATTTCAAGGGTTTCTTACGCTAATAAATGTCATCGACATCTCAAGGACCAAATCTCGGTTTAGCTGCCAAACTGGTTGGGCGGAGCGTATATTCAGGTGGAGATTTCGTCAACTGTGAAATAACTTTTCCCGGGAATTCGGATATAGTTAAAGAAGAATATAAATGGTTTGTTTTTTTCCACTTTTTAAAATGTGTTCTCTGGTAACCAATCCATCTTGTTTGGTTGTACAAGATGACCAGTCTTGTTCTATGTTTTTCATCTCTTCCGTTATCAAGTGTTATTTCTCTTCATGAATTCAGTCTGGGACTGTTTTTCGATATATTGCTTCTCGTGCTTTCGTATCAGGTCATTTGTCATAACTAATTTAATTTCATTGCAAAAATCCTTTACCAGGGTGTTTAGATGCTACAGTACATCTGCATTTTTGTTTAATTATCCTTACTGATTTTTGCTTCTGTTTCTCTCTTTTGAAGGTCACTTACTGGTATTGTTGGCTGTATCATTGGTCAATGTAAGTTGGACAATAAGCAACTAACTACACAGAACCAGGCGTCCCCAAAATCACTGTCATTTAGTACTTCTGAGTGGAAATATAATTGTGAACTAAACTGTATGTATATTTTTCCATATTTAAAGTTCGTTTTTATTACGTAGCTATAAAAAATACTGATTAAATGTCATGTAAACTTTCACTTACTAATAAGAAGGAAATGTTTTTTCGACCGATTTTGTATTCAATAACATGTAGGTCAACATAAAGTACTTGATATTCTGTTGTCGAATCAGTTTCCCATAATTAAAAAGTATTGGGAGGATAAATAAAGAAATAAATCTAGAAAAAGCAGCGTGAACAACAGTAGAAATTCTCAAAAAACTAAAATAAAACTCGATACAAAAATAGATGCTCACTAACCACACAAAACTAGTGATTAGATTTATTTCGGTTGTGACTTATGATACACTAGTTTTTTCTGCTGACAATTTACATAAAAATATGAATGAACTGTAACATGTATAATGAGATGAATTAAGTTCAGTTCGTGACAAAACACCGTAACTCTCACGCTGTTATCCAGACGAACCGTGTTCTTGACATTTTTTACTCATGGGTTGGTAGACTAGTGACTAATATCTATGAATGAAAGTGTCCATAACTCTTAAATATTTTGTTTACTATGTACTGCACTTTGGTTTAAAAACCAGAGTGTTATTATTAGCGCTTATGCAATATGTATGGCTCAAAGACGAGTACGTAAATGTGTACTTGGTTACTTGGATAATAGTTTTTATCTTTAGGAAATCAGATTTCCTCAATTATTACGAATTTTAAAAATCCCACGGTAATTTGTTTTTTGCTCACTATTTTTCTCAATGAGACCGTAAACTTTAGTGCACATTTTTCTTTAACTACGTCAACTTCATCTTCAGTTTTCATAGTGAGTATTATTGAACTTAGTATTTGCGATTTTTAACGTGATGTTTTATACATTAAATCGACAGCTGTTGAATTGTGAATTGAATTCTGTTCTACCAATTTTCTTGTATAAAGACTTCAGCGATATTTTTATCACTCGCATTTAAAGTGCGAAAAGATTGAGTCTAAACTCCAGAAGACATCTGTTTGTACCGTTCAGCTATTCAAATACCAGTAATCTACCTTCGACCACTAACTTTTCGATTCAAACACCACCCCAACACCTTCGATTTCGATGACAGTGTATTGTTGTTAACCCTCAAAGTGTGGCCCATACCCAAGTACCTGGTGAAGGAGTTAGTTTAAACCTCAAATTACAACCAAATATATTTCTGTGTATATCAGTCCCCTTTTAAATTTTTCTTCTAAATTTGATATAATGACCAGTCAAATTCGTACAAATAATTTAAGTCTTGTGACATTTTTCTGAATAATTTTTTTTCTGATTTCTAATTCATGTAGTCGATGCTGAATCATTATTCATTTCTACATTGGAGTCAAAAAGTCAGTTAATATGTATCATCCCAATGCATGTGAAATTTATTCCAGATAATAGTCTCAAAGGACCTGGTAAATTTCAAAAGTCTATTTACACAATTTTTGCAAGTGGTAATGATTTGTAGTATTGTCTGCCGTTTCACTCACATTTTCTAAACCCTTTTACCATATTTAAAATGCTAAATAGCTGGTAAGTCTATTGACCAGCAGAAACTTAGCACTACAAATTCAGCCTCGAAACCCTGTTATGATAAAGATTCCTTATGTCCACTTCTTTTTACTGATTATCAATGGGCTTTCTTAGTTTAGTAAAATTTTAAATAGTAACTGCCCCAGTCAGTATAAGTTTACTAGAGATTCTCATTAGGCAATCATCACTCCAAAGTTGTCGCTGTTGTATACGTATAATGTACAAAAGTATCCGTTTACTTCGATATACAGTTTTATCACATGACTATCTAGTTTACATCATGTTTTAATCTGAGTATTGTTCAATCATTGGTCCTATCACCAGCAAGCTGTTTCAAAGTGGTAGTTGCTTTGAAACTTACGGCTCTCCTTGTAAAATCCTTTGGGTTAAAAACAGTTCATTTCTCTCTTTTCATGACTTCATAAGAACTACTTCTCCAAAGAATACATTAACTTTGAGGACAAAAATCCATTTAAATAGTAAGAAAAACCAATTGGGTCACATCGTCAGTTAATGCATACAGATTAGCCCGCTTCTGTTTTCTTGTGTATTAGGATATTTTAATTATAATTTCTGTTTTTTTAGTAGATTGAGTTTAATAAAGTTGGAATATTCTGGTCTTCTGCAGATAAAATTGTATAGAATGAAGGAAATGAGTCCTTGAAAATGTTTTGGAAAGCATTTTATATCTAAATGTTATGCTAATTATGGGATATTTATTGGTTCACTGAATGTGGTCACTAATTACTCGCATGAAATTTTTACCTATACTACACTTCCATGTAAAATAGTCTGAAAAACGCAGATCTTTGTTTGTACGTTTCGGAATTTAAAAATATCGAGTTGCATAGAAAGTATATCATTTAAAGCATTTCAATTTGTCGTATTCTATAAATATCAGTGAAAAAAACACATTGATTTGTATTATAGTTTAAACAACAATCACACTTTCTTAAATAAGGAAATATAACTTCCATATACGCCAATTTGGACTGTAAGTATAACTAAATCAAATAAAGATAATGAGTTGATTAAAGAGAACCAAATTAATGTAGAAAATAAACCAAAAATGAAGTACATCTCATCTTCATTTTTCCGGATTTATGTGTAAATATTTCTCATATTCTTGTTTGTTCTCATTTTTTGTAACAGTTCTTATTTCTTGTTTCCAAATTTACAGTCAATTTGTGTGCTTATCTACCGTACAATCTTTCACCTAGTATTCGTGGCACGTTATTTAAGTTCGCGTACAAGGTGGTTGTGGCAGTTCAAGTAAAATATCTGAACTCAGATATCAAGACACATACTATTCAGTTGCCTCTTCGTGTTTTACCTTCTTCAATAATGTATCACAGTTTAAGACTTCAAGAATGTAATGGCAAGAAAGAAACATACTCTCCCGAACTGTCAAATCCGTTTTGGATTCCAGATACCAGAGATAAAGACTCTTGTTTTAATTTTGGCTTTGATGGAGGCTTTTCCTTGCAATCACAACAAGTCAACAGTTTTTTGTTTGAAGATACGGAAACACATACTAATAAATCGGTCGGTCAAATATATTCCTCTTTGTCTCATAATGTTTCCCAGTGTGGAAACTCGAATTGCTCAGATCATTCTCCAGAAAAATCAAACGAAGTTTATATCTATCCCAGTTCACATATGGAATTAATGAATCTGTTAGCATGTTCACCACCCGGTGGGTGTATTTGCTGTGAACCATATTAATTGTGGTTGTTTATCACGATCTTTATGGCTGGTCACATTTTTTCTATAGGATTTCGTCCTGGATATTTCACACTAAATAATAAATATTTAAATACAAAGTTTGTGTCACTGTTGTTTACTTGATATTTCATACTCCATCACGTATTTACTCAGTTCTACGTCATCAGTTAAAAGCAGATTTTTATCACATATCAGAGAAACTTTATTTATTCGGAGGATATTCCTATTTATCGATACCTTGGATTCACTGTCAATATAGAAATACCGAAGTTATTGTACACTTGCAAAATAATAGTTGTTCACTTAACAGTATTTTGTTGGGCTTTAATGGACTTCATTTGATATGCGTTTTATAACTATGATTAACGTTTTATGGGTTAAACAACAATCTTAACTGACTCAACTAAATTTCTGCTCTACTAAATATGACGTGAAACTATCAACAACATGAACGGTGATTGCTGTTAAATATAAGTCTTTAACACTGCAACACAGACACATTCAGCTAATACGCTCCAAACATGTTGCGGTCGATCACTTTAGTCCTAAATATCAACAGTGATGAAACAAAAATCTTCATATCAGTCAACAGTGTAAATTATTTCCCACTTGCTTTCAAGATTATTTTCCTCGTGTTTGCACACTTCAAATATACTATTTTGTAATTTGTTTTTAGCTAACTTCGTGATTTCTACTCCACGTGGTTATGTTGGACGGTTATCTTTCCAACGTACGTTATACTGCTTAGGTGATATGGTACGGGGTTATTTTGACTTTAATGAAGCTGTTGTTAAATGTCTTAGTTGTGTAATACGACTTGAAAGTGAGGAAAGATTTATGCTTCACCATGAAAATCCTTTCCTCCTGCCAAACTGTAGAATTAAAAGTAGAAGGAATGAGGTTCAGAATTGTTCTATGGGATGTCTACCTTTAACCAAAATTGGTCAACCTTTATGTACAAATTTTCAACCTTTAGGTAAGTTTAACTATGGAAACTGCACGTATTGTTGATTGCCTATGTGTGATAATCCATCGTAACTACTGTGCATGAAGAAAAAAACTAAAAGTTTTATTTGCAACCGGTCGTTCACCTTCATAATATCATTACACTGACAGGCAGCTGTATAAAACCGTTCTTTCTAGCTTGGTAGACTATGATCATTACCAGTGAATTTTTAAACATTTTAGTAAAATTTTGAGTTGCTAATTTTATTGAGGTTAACTAAAACTTTATCAGAGTCAGTGCTTAGTAAATATGCCTTTTGGTTTACTAACAAATCTGGGAATATTTACCTTGAAATTCCAACCGGGTAGTAAAATAGCAAATTTCTGGCTGTTCAGTATCAGCGATATGCAGATAGTTGTTCTGGCTTTCCGCAAATATTTTTAGTTTGAATAAAACGTTATCAGAGAGTTAATCGTTTTAAAACTAGGACGTTGAAACCATTTGTGCCCCTAAATGCTCTGGTATGGCGGAGAGGGGTGGGCCCGCCCTCCCTCGAAATGCTCTCACACGGCCACGCGTACTCAGCCTCCATCAGGGAAGTCATACTCACTGCCTTCTAGTGGCGGGGGTGTTGTTTACGAAATTGAGGGGACGAAAAGCGAATGTCCGGCGCTTTAACCGGATTCCAAACCAATGGTGCATGTGGACTCCAGTATCCTGCGGGAACAAATGGCGTATGAACCAATCGTTGGTCGCCGGCTACCATAGGACTGCATCTCCGCACGATGATCCATTGCCTTGTGGGTCAGACCTTTAGATCCAAGGCTCGGGGTGTGGCCCCCTAAGAAAACCACCTGCTTCGGTCTGGGCAGTATCCCAGCCTCCACAAAAAGCGAATGATTTATGTGGCGCATATCTATTTGGTGCCTCCTTGTACCAATGTTTATGTGTTTAAATAAATAATAAAACCAGTTGTATACGGAAAACCAACATAACTTGGGAACTATACCTCTTTCACAGTTTCATACACCTCTTTAAAATAAAAAATACAGTGGAAACCCTAGGACATTATTATAAACTCATTTTCTCTAAGAATATCAGAGTATAAACTAAACATTTCATATTCTTTAAAACAATTAGTCCCTTTGATAAATTTCGATAATGATATTAGAAGACGAAGATTATCAGAACTATGTGTTCAAAAACAGTTTGTTCTTACCTTAAACCTACCCTGGTAATATTGACTTATTATCCAGAGTGATTAGGTTTCAAATTGTGTTCACATTATTATTATCATTATTATTATTATTATTATTATTATTATTATTATTATTATTATTATTATTATTATTATTATTATTACTCTTATCATTATCCTTATCTCCTCTTACCCCGTTTCCTGTCTAGTTGACCTTTTATTTTTATATATAAATGCTCTTAACAAGTATATGTGTGACCAGATTGTTCGAAATGTATTGCGCTAATATATCACATAGTTCTGATAATCTTCGTCTTCTAATATCATTATCGAAACTTCATATTCTGTTTAATAGAATAGTATGTATAGCAACATGTACAACCGATCACATGAAGCAGCTAAAGATGCAGACTCAATAACTTTTTAAGGTATTGCTGCCTTCGAAATTGAAAGTTAAAAGTGATGTTAGTGAAAGTGTGACAATATCAAGGCTTATATAGATTCACCTATCCAACTGCTTCTGTGTTACTAGTTCATGTAGTTGATTATAAAACAATGTATATATTAGTAAATAGTTCCTAATATTATCTCCGCTATTCTTTTGTACTTATAATTGTTTTCATTCGTTCTATATCCTATGCATCATGATTTATTTTTACTTTAATTGTGTTATTTTTTATTTCAGGCTCTACACAGCATACTACATGGACAGATATAAAATTATATTGTACATCTAAACTGTTATTACCTTTTACATTGCCTATTCCAACAAATATAACGCCACAATTTCATTCTGTTAGTTTAACTAGTCCATTTATTTCCTTAGATTATCGATGGCGTTTACACTTAGAGCTTGATTTAATATCTGATAGTAGTAAAAATGATTTGTTAGATCATTTTCAAGGTAAATCATGTGTAAAAAGAGCCTACGGTACGGTATGGACAATTCCACTTAAGTTAAAAACTGAAAAATTTGTGTGGGATATACCAATCCAGTTAGTACATTCAAATCCTTCTGTGATAGATAATTTAAGTGATTCACTGAAATATCCCGTTTGTATATCAGATATTTGACATTTTTTCTTTATATATATATTTATATTTTGACTTTTATAGGTTTATTTTTTAAAACTTTTACTTATTAAAAATGTAATATTTTGCGAATATGTATATGCTATTTGTATAGTATCTCAAATACTTCTATATCCTACCTAGTATAAATTGTTCTTATGGGTGCATAGCTGTAATTTATTTTGTTTATATAAAGTGATAAATTTGTCCATTAATACTAATAATTATTTTTTTAAAAATACACAAATATATCTTTCTTTACTCTTATACGGTGTTTGCTGTACTTTATGATACTTTCCAATTTGAAGAAATAAAGTGGGAATGGTGGTAGTAGGGTAATTATTTCTTGCTTATTACATATTATGCCGTTAAATAGCGTCATCTAAATGTATTAACTAAACATTTAGAGTTTCTGTTAATAATTCAAAGTTTAATCCATCGGTAAATAGTAGCAAAAAATTGTATAGGTTCACTGTATATTCTCACATTTCAAACTTTGATTATTTATTTGTTATTATGTTGGCTAGTGGAACGATATTTATTTGAAATACACTTTTATAAGTGAATAGCACTATCAAAGTCAACGTGCTAAACGGTTTAATGTAGAATTGGTTATATTTGAGTTTGTGTTTACATCTAGTCCAAGTTCGTGTATCTCTTGGGGACGTGTTTTTAAATAGGCTAACACCATTTCCTTAGATCATTTGTTCTAGCAATATAATCAGATACTCGGAATACCTTTTTATATAACATTTTGTTTTTATCCCTTTCCAAAAAATAAGTACTCAGCATTTCATCAGAGCTACCCACTACCCTCATTTTTACTTAGTTTCTTTTACATATAACTCCGTCTAACTTTCCAGAGGCTCATCTACAGGAGACTCGCTTATCTGTTTAATGAAGACCATATGATAATCCAAAGTTATTTGAACACTGATCAACAGTTTACATATAGTTGAAGTGAGTTTCTCCGTCCCTAAATGTAAAATGTGGCTTCAGGAGTAATATCTGTCATCTAAATCGATGATAGAGAGTGAAGTTACCGACCTAGCGAATAACTTCAATTATCTTGGGTGTCTCATTGGTCGTGGTAGGTTTTTATCTGAATAAATCTCAGCATGGACTTTGAAGGCGTGCTTGGCTTTTCCCAACATACATCAATTATGAGGTAGGCGAGATTTCTGCCAACCGAAAAACCAATATACTGCTTCGAAATCCATTGTCTTTTGTTTTATGATCATAAGACATGGGCTTCAGAAATAGGTAGAAACCAGTGACTATTATTTACTTATAGGTGTTTTATAGGTAATGGTCATGTATCGTCCAGTGGCCCCGTAACTAATCCCAAGGGTGCGCGTGGTATAGCAAGGCAGTTGGTAACTCTATCAGTCTTCAACAGGTGCTTGAGAAATGTACAAATTATCCACAGCTACCGCCTGCCAGGACGCAACGTCTTGCTTCATTAGCCTTCTAAAATTTGAGGTTGGTTGTAATAGTAAATTTATCAGTATTTCTCATCTTGATCACGTAAAATATATCACGATCAAATACCTATATGTGTCGTACTTATAATTCTTTTTCCAATTTAAAAGTTGCTTTACTTAAATACACCGACTTTCTGTAATAAAATTCCCAAATAGATTACAGTTACATTTCTGAACCGATGTAGTCAAGGAGTGGTAGTTTAGATTTGCTAACTTTTTCTGTCATTCTCTGCTCATGTAATTGTTTTTTCAATAAAATGAACCTCATTGGTCATCTTGTGACGAAATTTTAAATAAGTGAAGTGAATGTCACAGGCATTGCATAAGATACTATTACTACTGAGAAGTAACCTGCTAGTATGAAAAACAATCTTTTGCACTCTCACCTTATTTCCTATTATTAAGACATTTGCTTTTAAGGTATCTAAGCTTTATGTGAAATGACTCTCGTTGGTGAAGGAGGGTCGATTTATCCCACTAGCCAGTTACCTGACATGACATTTCTTTTATAAGACTAACAATCAATTAACTGTGATTCATTTAATTGATATATTTTTAGTACATAAAATATTAAGCATTTTATGGTATTCAAATTCATAATGTTCTAATATTACTCACTAACTTTTATTTGTAAAATTATGTTGAATGCTTTATAAATTATGGATTTCTTCATGATAGTTAATATCTTTGAACCGTCTTTATTTCTTTACTCAGAATTAGACTTCAAATCGGTATTTGGTATGCTTCTACACGCTCCATTAATGTTTCGGCATAACCTGGGGAGTAGTAACGTACAACCTCTTCTGGATAGCAGTTGTTTATAGCATTAATGTACTCCGACAACAAGCCTTCGTTGTCGTCCTTTAGCTCCTGTATTTTTTTAAGACCTCCAGATGCCACAAACCACCGACGTGCTCTGCTATCATGTGGCAGAACTTTGCTAAACTGCGCAACTGCATGTTTCAGGATACTTGGAGGTGCTTTTTGCAATAAAGGTTCTAGTGCCTCTAAATTAATACACTTCTGAATTATTAGCTTCAGTGCCTTTTTGGTCTAAAAGAAAAAGTGACTATGAGTGACTATGATACCTTTGTTTTAAGATCCTCTGAAGCATTTTGTTTTAGATAGCACTCCAACAGATTCTGCAGTACGTCGGCTTGAGCTATGGCTTTCGCATGTTCAGGGGAATGGCGACCAATCTGGCCGAGCGCCCACGCTGCGGCAGCCTGTATCTCCTCGCTCGATTCCTTTATGAGTACACATTTTAATTGTGAAACCCCCTAATGGAAGTGTTTATCATATGTAACAAATTACGTTTGAAACTATCACAGCCATCGCTAAGGTTTCAGAATGAGCAGCTATATATCCCAAACCCATAACACCTGGTAGACATGTAAATCCTTTAGTATCCCCAATCTGGTCAACTATTGCAGCTATCCCGCCGCAGTTAACAATTAATTGACTGAGTTCTGGTGTATGTTTGACTATTTCCTTGACCAGATTGCCGCAGTTTTTCCTAACAATTTCATCCACGTCCTTAAGGCACACCAATGCAGCTGGAAATATTTCGGCTTCAACTACTAGCTCCGCCAAGTCCACAGAATGTTTAGCGATTGTTGATAAAGCAGCAAATACTTGGCGCTAAAAGAGTCTTAGTAAAAAAATCACCCGTCTCACCTTAAGTAGCGAATCTTGATTTAGTACAAGCTGTGCAAGATGAGCGATTGCTCCACCGTCAACAACCGATTGGGCAAGATCAGCTGTATGTTTTGTTATTTCGGCTAGTGTACATGCAGTTGCTCTTTTAAGACTTATTTCGGGTTCTTGAATGCATAAAACAAGCAGTGGAATGGCACCTGCATCTACGACCGCCTGAGAGAGCTCAGCTGAGTGTTTGGCTATACATCCAATTGCACATGCAGCACCCTCTTTTACAGCTGGATCGAATTCCTCCAAACAAACAGTGAGTGCATCCAAAGCTCCACAGTCTACAATACTTTGTGAAAGTTCAGCGGAGTGTTTGGCAATCGACTTTAGTACAAATGCGGCAGCTCTTTTATAAAATCTCTAATAAAATAAGATAAATGAATTAAACTAAATACGTTCTGTTGAGCTAGAGAATAAACAAGTTGAGGTAGGATATCACCCTTAACAATAACTTCAGCTAAATCTTTTCGATGATTAGCTAGACGTCCTAGTGCGATAGCTGCAGTTTGCTGAATTGTGGGTACCGTATCAAGTAAAAGTGGTCTCAACAAAGATAATACTCCTAAATTTTGTAGAACATCAATATTTTGTGGCTGAACAGCAAGCTCGGCGACGGTTTGTACAAATTTAGTTCTAGACTTTTGATACTGCTCAAAGTCTATATTTAAAAAAGAGGGTTAATATATGTCAAACCTTGTAGTATCCGACGCTGGCTCATTTCATAAATATGAATAACCAGTTGTCATGGTGATCGGAACAGATAGAGCAATTGAACTTCGTACAGAAACCATTTTCATTTACTCAAATGATGTACATAAAAGAGACTCAAAGGTATTGACAATTGCTTTAAATTAGTATTGGTTGTGGCGCCTACAAGTATTTGTTCATGGCTACTTGTACAGTGCGACCAGTGTTTGAAAAACGTTGCACTGATGTTCTTTTAGATACTGTTTCACTATCAATTTTCTAACTTCGAGTTCTTGAAAAATGGGTGACATGCCTTCATTTTGGATTCTCATCTTCAACACTTGTTTTCGTCTTTTAGTTTTGTCATCGGCAAAAGCATCTTCAGGTACATGTGGCACAGTTTTGGCTGCATCTAGTCTAACACTAAGCTCCTTCTCTTCAAAGAAATCGGTAACACTTCCTAGATCTGATGCACCACGCTAATTGCGCATTGTAGGCTTCTTAGACTTGGAAATATAAGCCACAGATACAAATTCAGTAAACTGAAGGACAAGGGAACATTATCGGACTCGTATATTCTCCTTTTATTCCAATATGGAGTCGTGCAAACGTAGAACTAGAAACCTTTACAGCTGAACAACGTTTGGATTCAATAGTTTTTATATAGTTTTATAAACATTAGTAATGTCAAGTCAGTGAAGTGGCATGGCTCTTGCCAAATTTTCCGACAGTCTATCACTCCATATCGAGCAGTTTGCCAACACACTTCAAGGTCATTCATAACCAATCCGCATCGATTTATTACTGTCATGTACTGGCTCATGTGTTGATGATCTTGCTCTGTTGCTTGTACCTACTTTTACATATGCATTTCTATAATAACTACGTGTTTTTTGTATGGTCATCAAGGTGGTCATGGTACCTGGATAAGACGAAATTGTAATTTGCGTTATATGCTTACTATGAGTTTTGACTCTGGCAGTAGCCGGTCGATCACATCATTTCCGTCTTACTCAAGTAAGCCCCTAGTTCTTTGACACAGATCGTCTACACTGGCGACCAACAGTAATGATGTTTTAAACATACTCAAAAAAGCCTTGAGCCTATTTATAAAGTACTTATTATAATATGAATCTTCTTACTGCTGTTGATTCGTGGATAGCTATGATTATATGGTCCCTCCTTTCTATGACCCTTTGGTATTTGTGATAGTCGATTAAAATAGAATTAACCCTCTTGTTTAACTCTGTAGATCGCCAACGTAGATGATCTATGTCGAAATGATTGGAGGCCTTCTCGAGTTAGACGTGAATGATGTGACAAACTAGCTAATGTCGAAGTCACACCTCATAGTCAGCACCTTACTTGGACTACCCTATCGACGTATC